TGGTCTGGTCTGGTCTGGTCTGGTCTGATCTGGACTGGTCTGGCATGGTCTGGTCTGGCGTGGTCTGGTCTGGCATGGTCTGGTCTGGTCTGATCTGGACTGGTCTGGCATGGTCTGGTCTAGCATGGTCTGGTCTGGCGTGGTCTGGTCTGGCATGGTCTGGTCTGGTCTGATCTGGAATAGTCTGGCATGGTCTGGTCTGGTCTGGTCTGTCATGGTCTGGTTTGGTCTGGCATGGTCTGGTCTGGTCTGGTCTGGTCTGGTCTGATCTGGACTGGTCTGGCATGGTCTGGTCTGGCGTGGTCTGGTCTGGCATGGTCTGGTCTGGTCTGGTCTGATCTGGACTGGTCTGGCATGGTCTGGTCTGGCGTGGTCTGGTCTGGCGTGGTCTGGTCTGGTCTGGCATGGTCTGGTCTGGTCTGGTCTGTCCTGATCTTATCTGTTTCATCAGTGTCTGAGATCTCGTCCTTCTGTCCTAAACTCTTCATACTGGAGTGTGTTCACACAGTGCGGTGAAACACAGTGTCCTACTGACAAACTCAAAATGGTCCAAAGGTTGAGTGTGGACTGACGGACACTTCTCACCCTCAGCAGTCGCCATCTTTGTGACGTAGCTTGACATGTTGGCTGGGGACAACACATAGCCTGAGCTGGTGACAGTGAACACCACCACGTTCTACAGATGGAAGTTCATCATGTTTTTTACTCTAAGCATTAAATCTGTTGTCGAACAGAAGCCGTCAATGATGTTTGTTGGGTGTTGGGTGATGATTTCGTACCGCCAACAATAATGCAAGTGCTAACGATAGCATTCACTAGCTAATGGCTGCAATCACGTGACCAATGTGCCAACAGGAGTAAACACCCAACTGAGAAATGTTTTACATTTCTTTGTTTTTGTATTTTTGCTTCAGTGTGGTCATTTCCTCCTCGTCCTCGTCCTCTTCCTCTCTCCTCTCTCCTCTTTTAAACAGAGGGATGAGACATTTTTTCCTTCACATCATCTACAGTGTGATGATTCTTTGTGGACAGGTGTGACGTGAAGCCTCACAGATATAAATGAGACACAAACAGACTCCTCTGTTACGAAGTGATCAGACTACAGAACAGTTTTTTCTGTCAGATTATCCTTCACAGTTTTATTTTCTTACAATAAAATCCTCTGAATCTCTTTTAAAACTGAGAGCTGTGGATTATTTATCTGTTGGAAAACAAAGAAGAAGAGAAAACAAAGCACAGAGCCCATGTGCATGCTGGTCCAACCAACAGAAAGCTGAACACTTTGATTTACATGTCGGCCATTAACAGTTAATTTCTCCTGTGTGATATTAAACAGTGTTAAGACAGTGTTCAACTGGATTCACTCTGAGTGTAACCCACATAGGTCATTAGTCACTGCACAGCAGAGATATGGACCTTATTAATTATTATTATTAATAATAAAAACATAAGTCACCCAAAGACAAAGGAAACACAACACTGATAAACACAGGAAAGATATATATCAGCAGCCTGACAGCCTCATTAAACTATGTAATACAAGAACAGTTCAGCATGTTTTCTGTGTGATGATTTATTTGTATTTATTTAGATTTAAACTGTGTTTTTCTTTAAACAGATTTTATTTTCCACATAATATCTGCTAAATGCCTCAGAGGACTTATTTTGATGGTGGTGGTATGACACAATAAGTGATGAAGAGCGGCTGGTCGACCTCCCTGATGTCACATGACTGTCAGGATTTTATTTTATATTAATATTTTGATATTCAGCATCAACATGATTTTGAAACATCCAGTAGATGTTTATTCAGTTCATGATTTCATGTGTCTGTCTCTGGATCCAGACCACACTGTGACTCACAGCAGTGTGTCAGCCGATATTTCACCGTAGAAGAAGAACAACAACAATACTTCCGGGTGGTTTGTTTTGTTTTGTTGGCCTGACAGCAGCAGTTAGCTTCAAGCTAAAATAAAGTAAAATAAATTAATATATATATTTAAAGATGTCAGCCACAGAGGACGACACAGAGCTGCGGGACCTGCTGATCCAGAATCTGGAGAATAACGGAGTCCTCAACAAGCTCAAGGTCCCGCACATTTAAATACTACCGGTCAGCTAGGCTAGGCTAGGTTAGGTTAGGCTAGGCTAGGCTAGGCTAACGGTAGCTCAACGGTCAGCAGTCATGGCGACACAGGTTCAGCTGTAACTTTACCGGGAACATTAACGGGTTTTTAACGGGAGGTGAAAGATCTGGGATGTTTCGTGTGAACTTTCTGTTACCTATAAGGCTAATGTAGCTCTGAGCGTTAGCTAATTGTGCTAACGCGGCTAATGCTGTAGTTCTGAGCTCGCAGAGGAGTTCACATCCGGTTCTGTTCATGAAGATCAGTTCTTCTTCTTCTTCTTCTTCTTCTGAAGAGTGTGTGTTTCTGACAGTGTGAAGCTTTACTGCAGCACATGTTGGTGACAGCAGAGCTGACATCAGAGGGACCTGTGTATACAGGGACTCTTTACATGTATCTGACAGTCACCTCGAGATGACGAAGAAGTAATCTGATCTTTTAGGGGTAATCGATATGATCTGCATGTTATCAATATCAGCTGACATCAGCTTTATAATGAACCATCAGCTCAGTGAATGAATATTACAGACACTGCAGAGTGTGTCATGTCTCCGTCGCTATAACAGTCTGTATGTATAATGTGACTTGATGATGATCACTGACATCAGGAGGGAAAAGGGTTAGAGTTATTGATTAGCCAAATGAGTTGTTACATATTGATCAATCAGATATTGGCAAAAAATCCAGTATCATGCATCTCTAGAGTTTCTTCTTCAGGAAACAGTTGAAGTCCTGATACGACAGAGTGAAAATACTCTGTTATAAATTTTTATTCCAGTGTACTCAAAGCTCCTCTGTTTCAGATCATAATCTGATGGTTGTGTTTTCTTTTATCAGATTATAATCTGATGGTTGTGTTCTAACATGTGTTTAGAATGTTTCCAAATAGCTGGTGTGAAGGAATTCTCACCAAGAGCAGCTTTAGTCCTCACTGGCAGACCACACTGGATGAATCTGTAGAAAGTAAAATAATCATTCAGCAGAATCATGTATGATATTATTTATGTATTAGACTTGATCACACAGGAAGTGTTTCAGCAGCTGGAGGATCTTTTTTCAAACAGTTGTCAATGAGAATGAAACTTTTTGTTTGCTGTTTCTGCATTGCTATGCACCTCATGTTTCTGTGCTCTGGGTTGGTAAATGATGGAGGAGAAACTGGTGGTAGCGGTTGCTGGATATGACAAACAGTTAGCACCATCTCAATAGAAAACAGCAGGCGTGGAAGCAGATAAGTGCAGTACTGGACCAACTGGTGGTACTCCCCATGATCCAGCCTCTTTTTTAGGGTCTCATGTACCCACACAGATCTCTGTTTATCTGCTGACAGCCTCTCACCCTCAACCAGAGCTACAGACAGCACCCTCTGCCTCAACATGGCAGCAGCTGCACACTGATTACTGCAGGATACAGAAACAATAAATAAACACTAGATTGATTACACAGGAGGGTTAGGGTGAGGAGGTGATGGAGTGGTTGCCTGGCAACAATAAAAAGGCACAGTAAGCTCTTTTTTTCCCACTGGTGACATCCAATAAAAAAACAGCAGTATGGTGCACCTCACTCTGTGATTAGGGACTGTTGATCAGCTGATGTTAATGACATCATATCCTGCTGGGTAGATTCATTCAGCAGTAGAAACATTTATCTCTCCTGTGGTAACTCCTTACTGTGGTCTCATGTTAGAAGCTGAAAGAAGCTGAGGGTCTGTTGTCATGGTGATCAATTCAATCAATCAATCAATCAATTTTATTTATAAAGCCCAATATCACAAATCACAATTTGCCTCACAGGGCTTTACAGCATACGACATCCCTCTGTCCTTATGACCCTCACAGCTGATCAGGAAAAACTCCCCAAAAAACCCTTTAACAGGGAAAAAAACGGTAGAAACCTCAGGAAGAGCAACTGAGGAGGGATCCCTCTTCCAGGACGGACAGACGTGCAATAGATGTCGTACAGAACAGATCAGCATAATAAATTAACAGTAATCCGTATGACACAATGAGACAGAGAGAGAGA